TTCACTCAGTCGCCGAGACTGGAGTGCAGTGGCCACTCCCGGCCACCGCTGCCTCAACCTGCTGAGCTCCAGTGATCCTTCCACCTCAACCTTCCGAGTAGCCGGAACTACAGGTGCGCGCTACCACACCCAGCTAATTTTTTGATTTATTGTAGAGATGAGGTCTCGCCAAGTTGCCCGGGCAGGTCTCGAACTCGCAGGCTCAGGCAGTCCACTCACCTCAGCCTCCCAAAGGCGTGTGATTACAGGCTGAGCCACTGAGCCCGGCTCCAATCCCTTTCTTATAGTATTATAATAATTGTTCAAAGTCTGCTTATGAATGAGAACATGCGGTACTCTGTTCTTTGTTTCTGTGATAGATCACTCAGTATTATAGACTCTGAGTCCATCCAAGTTGCTGCAAAGTTCATAATTTTGTCCTTCTTTATGGCAGCATAATATTCCATCATGTATGTGGACCACTTTTTTTTTCAATCCAGTCCTCTTGATGGGCTGCACAGTTAGTTCCATGTTTTTGCTATTGTGACTAATGCTGCAATAAACATATGTGTGCAGGTATTTTTTTCATAGAGTGCTTTGAGTTCCTCCAGGTATATTCCCTATAGGAGGGATTGCAGGGTTGTATGGAAGGTTAATTTTTAGATCTTTGGGAATCACCACAGTTTTCCACAGAGATTGTACTAGTTTACACTCCCACCAACAGTGTAGAAGTGTTCCCTTTTTCCCACATCCTCTCCAGCATCTTTTGTTTTTTGAGTTATTGATGATGACCAACCTGACTGGAATTAGGTGGTATCACAGTGTGGTTTTAATTTGCATTTATTTGATGACTAGTGAGGCTGAGCATTTTTTCATGTATCTGTTGGCTTCTCGTATGTCTTCTTTTGAGAAGTGTCTATTCATATCTTTTGCCCACTTTGTAATGGGGCTGGGTTTTTTTTCCAGCACATTGGAGTTCCTTGTAGATCCTAGATGTCAGGCCTTTGTCTGATGTGCAGTTGGCAAATACTTTTTCTCAGTCTGTGGACTGTCTTTCCACTCTTAATGATTTCTTTGGCTTTGCAGAAGCTTGTCAGTTTAATGAAGTCCCACTTGGCTATCTTATCTCTTATGGCATGGGCACTTGGGGTTTTGTTCAGGAATTGGTTGCCAGTTCCAATTTCCATAAGGGTGCCTCCTGCATTTTCTAAGGCTCTTATAGTTTTACCTTTAGATCTTTGGTCCAGTTAGAGTTGATTTTTGTGTGTCTTTATAATATTTAAAATAAAGACTCTGAATTTCAATTCCTGATGTCTTGCAGTTTGATGAACAAATAGTGAACTTTAAGAATAGTGAGCCGGGCTCGGTGGCTCAGCCTGTAATCCCGCGCCTTTGGGAGGCTGAGGTGAGTGGATTGCCTGAGCCTGCGGGTTCGAGACCCGCCTGGGCAACTTGGTGAGACCTCATTTCTACGATAAATAAAAAAATCAGCCGGGCATGGTAGCGTGTGCCTGTAGTTCCAGCTACTTGGAAGGCTGAGGCGGAAGGATTGCTGAGCCCAGTAGGTCGAGGC